ATATATATATATATATATATATATATATAATTAAAAAGACTCCCTCGGCAAATATTGCTCAAGCTTATATCTTGAAGAGCTATACAGGGGTCCTTTCCTAAGAATTAATGACCCCTTAACCTCAACCCTGCTGGTATTTGTTTAATAAGGCGGAAGAAGGAGAATAAGGGTGCAATTTTAACAAATAATGGGGAACATAAATGTAGGAAATTGATTAGGCGACTAGGATAAAGGAAGATCTTGGAACCAAATTGTAATTATACAACAGAATAAACAAACAGTAATCAGGAGAGGGAAAATTAAAAAGACACTGTTAACAATGACAATCAAATTAAGAGTCATTTACAATTCTATTTGGAATTATATAGGAACCGTTATAATTTCTAAACCCATCAAAGGAAGAATTGACCAAGCACCTGTTTTCTTTGTGAGATTCGTCGATAAGCATCCAAGCAACAACCTCTGATACTGTGGATATTCGTGCTAACACCTAATCACTAATTTCTCATATTTTACTATTTTTTTATTACTTCATTTAGCTTTTGGCATATATTTTTGTTGCATTTACATACAGCGATTGTTTTCTAAATATTATGAAAGTATATAATCATAATTAAACACGTACAAAGCGTTCGGAAGCAACTGTTTGAATTGGAAGGGCCCATTTTGAGAATTATTTGCGGCTACACATTCTAGAAGTTCTATAATTGCATCGTCATCCAAAGGACAGTCTGTTCCAAATGCAAGCTTCCACACAACGTGGAATACCATACGCCTGAAAACTGGACTATAACAGAAGAAAACAAATACTCATTAGTCAACGTATTTTTAAAGTAAAAGCCATATTCGCTGTCTACTAGAAGCAACTAGGGTGTGATTAATTTGAGCAAGGTACTGTTACTCCAAGACACTATATTACCTGGGTAAAATCTATTTGGATGTTGGATGTCTCTATAATGTTGGTGATTGGAAAGGTAAACATACTCGGACTACCAAACCGTAGGTGGTTTCAATTTGGTTATTTTGTTGGCCGAAATGCAGGCTGCTACTGAACGCTTGAAAGGAAGCTTAGATAGCAACCTCGCCAGTACATGGAGCAGCACTTGCCTAAACGTACATCAACTTGGTCTTACGATGTCACGATAAGATGCACTTAACTAAGGTTCCGTGCTGTCTTAAATAGAAGTGGGTATTTTGAAAAGATGGTTATTTTCACTCACCCAAAAACGCATTCGTGTTCAAACTTTCCACTATTCGTACTTTCATGGGCACCTTGACTCTTTCATTCATGCCCATTTTGGGCTCTCTTTTTAACAAATAATTGACAGAAAGATTGAAAAACGGCCACCTGTTGATAATTCGATTTTCACAACGATTGAGCTGTTAAACCACTTTTGAGACATAGAAAACATGTGTCTTTACTGATATGAGTTCATTAGTGAGTCAATTACTCCCTTGACTATCTAATGATACTTAGTCAAACCATTTAGATTTAAAAACATACGACGAAAGATCTATGGCAGAGTTTCCCTGGCTTACTTGAGCTTTAGAATTTACAGGCACTTTTGCAATATTCGCTCCGATAACAGGTCCAATTATTAATATTGTTAAATTCTATGGTTAAATATTTTATTATGATTACTTGTTTTAAAAATGCAAGAAATTTTCTGCTTCGTGATTATTAAACAATTTTAAACCGCAATGCATGTGTAATTAGTACAAAATGGCAGCTAATGGACAATTGCTTTTCGTTAATTAGTTTCTGCTCATTTAATTATTAAGCCACCTGTATATATGAACAAATGCTCCAGTACAGAAGTTACGCCACTCACTTGACTTTAACAGGCTTCCCATGTAATTGTTTCAAGAAACGAATTAAGTTATCACACTCCACCGTCAGTTTATCGTCTACGAGTGCGTTTGGGCAAAGTGGTTGACTAATTCCGCTAATAGCATTAGGCAGGAAGCGGTGAAGCCCGCGCACCAAAATTCTCCTCAAATTAAGAGCATTTTCCCCATCATAGTTTGATATTCCTAGAAAAAAAGCACGTATATTTGTCAATTAACCATCACAAAGCAGTACAGTTACTAAGACGGTCACGCTACTCTTACCGTATCGCTTTGCGAGAATATGATTAGTCAGTGCTGGGTAACGTCCAATCAACATACGAGTTTTGAAGGCAGCTTCTCTGATTATCGCCTCATCACTTATTACGATTACAAGCTTTCCACACACTCTGAAGCTGATTATTGGCCCATATTGTTTACAAATTTGTTGCACCTTTTTAAATGCATCTGAACCTAAAGAAAAAGGGAAAGATTTAGAAAATCAAGTCATCCAGAAATAGTGCAATGAGTTTTACCGAAAAATTGTAGAACTTGCCTAAACATTTTGTGAAGCCTAGCCACGGATAACCAATTGGACCTGGTGGGAGCTGTGTCTCCCTATAGCATATGCGAAGTACTTTATAAGTAGTAAAGAGGCTGACGGGTACAATTACGAACCATTTATGATCATCGGTGGTAAGGAAACTTTTGACTCCCTCAACCTACGCATACAAAATAGTTTCACGACATTTTAAAGATGTCATAAAGGATATTCAAATATATGGGGTGCGGGATAGACTTACCTCCTCGTGGTGCACCCTGGGCAACGTATACTCATACGGCAAAAAAGTCTACTAACCGGCAGTTGACTTCTCACTTCAAACTACCATCACCCCCACTGTATGTCATATTCGACCACTTCTATAGCACTCATCTTACCCTTTCTGAGCCTTTGTGTCTGTCTGTTTCTTTTACATCTGTAAATCACTCTTCTGTTCCCCCCTCCTGAATTCTTCTCCCCTATGTGAGGCCCGAAGTCAACTAAAGGGCTTATGATAATATCAATACGCCTGCCATTTGTTATAAATATTAGAATATATTATCATTATAACCATTCCCTCCAGTTATAGTGGAATTTCAAATTCGTGTTTCTCAGAAGGGTACTCAAAGCATTTATTGGGAATTTTAGAAATTGATTGAATTATTTCATTGATTAATGAGGATAGGCTAGTAACTTGGCGGTCTTAAAAGGGTACATTTATAAGCAAAAAATAAATGAAGATGGAATCGAAAACGGAAAAAATGATTTTCAGATCAATATTTGTGACTTCTGAAGGAATGAGGAGGGGAGAAGTTTTGAGATTTGAAGCAAAACTGGTCTGATAAAGCCCAATTGCTTAATTTATCAAATTTTTAAGGGCACTGAAAGATAATCCTCGTTGACAAAAGCTTAGTCGACTTATTTAAAATGTAATAATTAGCTATTCTTAACAGTAGACAATTACATCATATTTTCAATGTTCCAGTGAGTGCTCGGATTTCAGCCCTCTGAAAGTTGTAACTTCGACTCCTCATCATCTCAGTGTGGCTAATTTGATGAATAGGTGTGTTTGTTCATGCTGACAGACCTCTGAATTGCTTTATGATAATCTACTCTCATGACTAATATGCAACGATATTAGATTTCTTGAGGGTATATTACCATCCCGTACCAACAAGGTGTTTAGAACAATAGTTTATTATTGAGTGAGTGAACTCAAATGTTTCTGAAATGACTCACTAACTGCCCAATAATTCGTCTTAAGTGAACACAGCTTGCGGAAATCCACTAATGCAAGGTGTTCAACATGCTCATCTCTACTATGATGAAACTACAAACTAGTGGATATCTTGTAAGACCATTTTTATCGTCTCAACATTAATTGAAGTAGGCAGGATCGACTCTTGTTTTCTCAACAAAACAATCGGAGAGGACTGAAAACATTTTCGAAAGTGAACTGTTCATTTGGAAAGATGTTGTGCAACCCAGATTCAAAATTCAATGGGAGTTCAAAGTACTTTCACGAAATCTTCACAAAATATTGTCGCATCTTTGTCGAGTTTATTTACTTCCATGCGCATAAACTACGTAGCTGTGTCGAAAACATCGACTTCCTCCCAACCTATCTTAGCAGACTGTTGTCAACTTGCAATGCACAAATATGTACAAAATTTTCAATTTTTCATTTCAAATCACCACTTCCAATGATGCACACACGCTCTCAGTACTAGGTGAGGAGATGAAGACAGCCAAATCAATTGAAATAATGTCTGTTGACTTCCAATAAGATTGAAGCACATTAAGGCGGAAGACTGGAATCCAAAGCAAATAAAATTCGAGAGAGATGTCAAGTGTGGGACCTTAGCTGTGAGATGTAGCAGTCACCACCGTCTCCGAGCTATCCTCAGTTCCCTGTGTGTTAAGATGTGTCCTTGTAATGACAACTGCCTTTTCCATGTAATGTCTTGTGTAACAACTACATTAGGATATAGACATACTGGTAAAATCAATTTCAAGCTTGGGAATGAGAATATCCGAATATTAATCGTTTGTAGACACTGCATTGTGATTTTAACTTTTAAAAAGAAGGAATATTCAATAATGCAATGGGGCTATACTAACTTATTTAAAAGGCAATAAATCAATTGTTAATCAATTGGAAAATCCAAAATTGCGAGAAAATTTCTTAGAGATAGAACAGCTTAATAAACTATTGCCTATTAAATTTGATAGGAATTTAGAAAAGTCAACAACTCTTTAGTATATTTGGTCCATTTTGTTAAATGGTTCAGGTGTAGATGGTATCACGTATACCAGTTGGAGGTTTAGAAATGCATTCACCAATCTTGAACCATTGCCCAACAAACAAATCCACCACATGCAACATGAAACGCTTTTAAATATTAAAATTACAGTTTGTTTTTTGTCATGATTAAAGGTAATAGAATAATAATAAATCTTATAAAACGTACGCAACTTCTGATACCTGCCCATGCGCCGATTGTCACTTGCATTGTGGTCTGTAGCTAGCTTTACCAACACGTCACACCTGGCGGGTATGCACATGCGATAGTGCAGCTGTGCTAGTAACCACATGGCGTCTAAGTGTCATCTGAGCCGTCACCGCCCTACCCCCCCCCCCCCCCCCCCCCCCCGCCTCCAAGTCACTGCCAATACTGCTATAAGTGGTTCACTCGCCTTGGTAGCACACACAACCGTTGCACCTATAGTTTAATCACATCATTCTTTCCCTATCTTTCATGCCCTTTTAATAGTTCCCGCCCACGAATCGAAGTACCTTTTAAGTCAACATCAATGTTTCCTCTTCTACTCATTTTGTTACAATAAGTCTTCATTTGACATCCTCCCTCACCACCCACTGAAAGGAGCATAAATTGCAGTAATTTCCTCTAAGAAATGGCTGTAATGCCCATCTGTCATCCACTCGTTTCATCATGTTCCTTTCTGTCCCTTCTCATGCGTTTCCAAAAACAGGTCACTTTCTCCCAACCACCATCCAACTAAAGACACATGAGCCGATTCAATTTTCTTTAAGCAAGGAGCAGTGAATGTCAGTGACTTTCTATGAAATGGCCTTGAGAGCATGCTAGAGGGGTCTGGCAGGCTGGAAATCGTCCGATCGCCAACGGCTACAAGCTGTCGGATGTTAAAAGAGTAAGTTTCTCAATTTGTCAATAAGCTCTGATCATCGAGCGCATGAAGTCATTCGATAATTGGAGACCCACGATCGGGTATTAACTAGTATACGCTTTGACAAAAGCAGTGAGAAAGTGGGAGAAAAGAGCCAGGATAAGGCTAAAGCATAGGCACTAAGAACGTGCATATTGAAGAGGCGATCAATAAAGCGGAGGAGTAAAATCTTTCATTTCAAACGGTCTGCAACTAAAGACAGTGCGTTCACGAACTCGATTTAGGCGATACATTCGTGTTAGCCATAATGGAAACACTGTCATACCTTCCCATCTCCACACCTCAAGTACCCCCCCCCCCACTTCGTAATCCAGGTACGAAGAAATAACGCTTCCGATCCCATGCCACACGCGATATGAGGATCGTAACATTGTTATATGATAGTTCATTCAGTTGTACAGATAGCACTTTCATGATGTCCCAATTCCTATCTAATAAAAATTGAGGAGGTCAGTCAAATCCCATGAAGCTATGGAGACCTGCTATTTCACAAAAAGTAAAATGATCATTTATCCAAATACTGCTTATATTTTCCAAAATGAAATAGATCTTATTTAAAGCACTAAGCATATATCTGCATATTTTATGAATTCATCAAATGTGCTAAATAACGCGTGAACAGAGAAGGGGTATAATTAAAGACGAGTTCGTACAGGAACTGGGGACTAACATTGACATTAATGGAGCCGATGTTTTAAACGAAGGAGCTGGTAGTGTCCTCGTATAAGTGGCCATCTCTTACAAGAAGATGTTTCAGATCATTAGCCACGTCATTTGCCAGGCAAAATGAGCACAAAATAAAGTGTAGACAAATTTTTCACTTGGTTTAAAAGAATCCAAAATACTTTTTCTTAACGAAAGCACTTCCAATAATCTAATTAAGTGATTTCCGTATTTGGATATTGACATCAAATCACCTTCTCAGTTAATTCGAATTTATCACGCAAATTTTTGGATATGCATAAACTGATGACCTTCTTACATTCACATCAGATATTGGCAAGAGAACGCAAGTGATTGGAGTGGGCCCACTTTTCCACAATTATCGTTTTTAATTCCATTCATAATAATAGTAATGATTTTTTGCACGAAGAAACGACATATCGGAAGTATTTGCATCACTTTTTGCCAATGAAAGCGGTTTATACATTGATTCAATGAGAGGGTGTCACAATGCAGCTGCGTTTTCTACTTCCAAACTGGAGAAGTATAAGTAGGTAATTTAGCTCTATTTACCAATAGAACTGATTGAAAAATGAGAGAAGATGCAAGTGGAGTACCGTATCCATTCACATGGTAGCGACTTTAAGCATTGTGCATCGGCCAATCAG